CAGGAGGTACCGAGTCCTGAGAGCACGCTCTTAAGATTGAGACTTCAGTGGCAATAGACTTGTGGGTATGTGGTTTGCTCGAGGCTTGAAGACCAGGGACATCGAGGGTTAGGGTCCGATTCAGGGGTCATTCGTCGCACCGAAGGCTTCACACACCGTTGACATGTGATGATGAGGCTTGAAGGACCGCAAGTACCAAAACCCAACTTCAAAGTCAAGCTAAGCCCCACTTTGAGAGGCCATTCCTAACTCTGCGAGCTCCGCATCTCGATATTCCGGTCACCCGCAAGTCTCTCCCGAGTTCCGGTTCATCACACGCGCTCGATCCTGGCGCCTCGGCTCGTCGGCGGCGTAGCTCAAGTCGTGGGGGCGAATCGAGCCCACACTGCGATAGAGTTCGGCGCAATTCAGCCTAGAAGGACGATGCTTCTGCGCTTATTGTGTGGGATCGCCCTGCTCTCGACGTCACATACCTCACCGACTCTCGGTTTGAGTGGCACAGCATCTGCGAGCCGCACCGGATAACGAAAACTGGGTATCGCACACACTGGCATGGCGTTCGCAGATGCCATCGTTTCCATTGGCCGCCTTACCAGAGGCTCCCAATTTTGACCGCTAGGGTGGGACGGGAGGCCTGACTTGTGCCAATTGGGACACTAAGGTTTTGTGGTGTGTGCGCATGAAGGCGGCGGTTGGTGTCACGTCCGATGTTCCCGAGAACTTGCTCATTCGAAGCAGCCATTCAAGTTTTGCATGTGATCTACATATTGAGCCTCGATCCTTTTCGTCCCAGCGACTGCTATAGAATGCGAATGCTACAACAAAAGTCCGAGTCGGCGGGACTGAGTCGCGACAGGGTTTAATACAGCGTCGAAGTCTGATTGGCCAGCTTTGTTGATTTGGAACCCCTTTTCCCCACCCCAATGCAACCCAGAAGCGCTTACCGAGGGATCGGATAGCGGCGTTACATCTTTAACGCTCGCGGCTACCGGGGTATAGGAGCCGCAGGCAACAACATTGGTGAAGGAACGAGCCGTACTGCGCCAGAATTTATCCATGCCTTCGAAATCCAAGCAGACGCCTCCCGAAACGGCGCAGCGGCCAATCCAGACAACCGGCAATCCGAGCCTCATCCTCTAACCGAGAGGCAATAGCGGGAAACAAAAGTCCCTCAAAGGAAGCGGTAGCCTAGGCGCCAAGACCCAAAACAAGATAAGACAGGCAAGAAGTTCCGCCGGAAGGCAAGGGCGATGATTTATTCGTACCCGCATCCAAAGGACCCGTCCTGAACCTAGCTCTGACATCAACACCAAACTTCACCATCATCGTCGTCAAGAGAATCCTTCGTCCCCCGCACGCGCTCGCGAACCAAGTACCCCTGACCCATTCATAATCTCAATCCACCGAACATCATCAAGCCGCCGACATGTCCGTCGTCGTGGTTGCTGGCGGCCTTGGCGACTTTGGAGGCCTGATCGTCAAGGCCCTGCTGGACACGGAGAAACATGAGGTCTACATCATGACCAGAAAGGTATGTGTCGCCATTTCGTTGTCATCATCCGTATCATGGGATCGAGGATTTGGGTTCCCTTCTCCCCGGTGTATTACGATGCTCACTGAGCCACCCATCCCGTCCTTCGAACTGGCGGATCGAAACCCTTGCCCTTGTCAAATCCTTCACCGAAAGAGATGCGCACCCTTTCAGACGCCATCGCTAACCAGCGTAGGCGTTCGCGCATCCGCGCCGTGTATCGCCAATCACCGGGAAACTATACGACCCCCTCATCCAAACCAACTACTCATCCGAAGATGCCTTGCTCGCTCAGCTAGCAGAGAGAAAGGCCTCCGTCATCATCTGCGCCTTCATCATGGATAACCAAGAGGCCTGTGATGCCGAGCTGCGCCTCATCCGCGCAGCAGACAATCTACCAACGCCCGAGCGGAAGCGCTTCATCCCGTCAGAGTTCAACGTTGAGTATGACGTCTCGGATGATGTACTACCCTACCCCGAGAAGAAGTACCATATGTATGCCAGGCAGGAGCTGGCCAAGACAAAGACACTTGATTACACGTACATCTATACCGGCATGTTCATGGACTACTTCGGCATGCCCAAAGTCCCGAGCGCGCTGCGCCCCTTGGCCTTCTTCATCGACCCCACCCACGGAAAGGCTATGCTCCCCGCCCAGGCGGACACCAAGATGAGCATGACCTTCTCCACGGACGCTGCGCGGTACATCGCCCTCTCTCTTGAGATGAGGGGCTGGCCACGCATTATGACGACTGAAACAAGCAGGATGTCTCCTGTTGACCTGGTCAACCTCGTGGCGAAGACCATGAAACCCGAGCGTCAGATTATCATCCACGAATTCCTCGATGGGCTTCGCGAGAGGGATCTTCCGATGAACGTCGAGATCGCAAGGCAATATCCTGAGCGCTTCCCGGGTGGGATGGACCAGCTGCGAGAGTTGATTACGAACTTGGAGGTTAGTGTTGTCCGTGGGGCGTATGACTTTGGACGGCTGAGCGAGCATACGAATCTGGCCCACTTGTTTCATATTGAAGTGCCGGACCCGAAACGCATTGAGGATTTGATCAAGGAAGCTTGGGAGTCAGATCCGGCCATAGACTCGAGTGCGGATGGGAACGCGAGTGGGAAGTCAGACACATGCGAGAAGTCGGACACAGCCAAGGAGACAGGCACGGTCGAGAAGTCAGCCATAAACGGGAAGCTCAACTCGGAGTCGGGAAAGGGCACCGAGTCAGACACGGGCGCGAAGTGAGCTGCGCCATGTGAGCGCATTTGCTTTCACATTGTTTCATCAGGATTCTAGCAGAGTATCATGTTAAGCAGCGGCCAATACAAATCTGTCCAGTCCCCACCGAAGCCTTCCTACCATCCGCGATGTAACATTGGACGTTACGCCGAGGTGGAGGAGCCGGGGCCAACGTTCAATCAAGGTTCGTTACGCGTCGTTGTTGCGGTTGCATCCTACCCAGAGGCTTACACAGGGTGGGCCCTTTATCACGGCGTCTAACCAGGCAAATATTCCGAGCCTCGGTCTTTATCCGACCCATGGGCGCTTGGAATCCTTCCCCACGTCGCCGGATGATTTCAGGTGTTTTCAGTCTGTTGGTTCACCATCGCCAGCAGGCAGCCATGACCTACTCGGACACTGCTTGGGGGTATCGAGGGGAAACACCGAGTACAACGGACCGACTGCCTATCATTCATCTCGGTATAAGTCATCAGTGTTGAAGTCTGCCCATCTTGTCACTGGGTAAACACCTTGCGCACCCCCTCCGTACCAAGCACAGAATCTCCATCAGCCATACCATTTGTTTCACCATGGGCTCTATCACCGTCGACGACAAGCACTGCCACCCTTCGTGGGCGCAAAAGACCTACTCCCAGCAGTATGGCTTCCAGGAAGTCCTCTACAACGCCATCTCAGTGGCACCGGGATCTCCTGGGCTGTTCCTAGTCGGCACCGCCGTCACCTTCAGCTTCACCTCATCCTCTGGCCGTGAGCGCTCAGCCTACGATCTCGTCCCTCTCCTTCGCAACGCCTGGCTCCAAGTCCGCCAAAAATATCCAACCATCGCCGCCGACAACCGTCCCGACTGCAAAGTCTACACATCCCCTTCCTCTCCAGCTGAACTGGAAGCCTGGCTCGACGAAACCTTCGTCGTCGCCCCGGGCAAGACCTGGCAGGACCTCTACCGCGACATGGTCAAAACCAAATACATGACGCTCCACTTCTGCCCCGAAGCCAGCCAGCTCTTTGTCCAAGGCGAGCACCACACCCTCGACGGCCGCGGCGCCGTCACCCTCATTGAGAGATTCTTCGGCGCCCTCGCCTCCCCCGCTGATCCCTACGACCTCTGGCGCACCGACGGAACCGAAGTCTCCCGCCTTCCCCCTCGCACAGAGGACCTCCTCCCGTCTTCCTCCTCCTCCTCCTCCCCTGACCGTGGCGCGCAACACGCCGTGGACCTCCTCACCCCACTCAACACCATCACCTCTCCCATCTTCCTCCCCGTTCCTTCCCCCCTCCCGCCACCCACCATGAAAAACTTTTCCTCCTCCCTCAAATCGGACCCCCAAATCACGGCAGCTATCACCGCCGCCTGCAAATCCCACCGTCTCTCCGTCACTGCCGCTTGGCACGCAGCTGTCATCCTCGCCACGCAATCCCTCCAATCTCAATCATCCCCTTCCGGAATTCAACACCCCTCCGGAACTGAGTACCCCTCCTTCGGGAACTTTGATCTGAGGCGGTACTTCCCTTCCTCAATGTCACTATCTGTGGCAGATACGAACTCGGTGTCAAATCACCATACTATCCTTCCCGTTGTTACCTCTACTACCTCTACAAATGGTTCTCCAAAGTCGTTCCTGGATATCGCCAAGGAACTTGATGCATTTTACAAGTCAGACCTTTCTAAGTCTCCTGATCTGTTTAAGGCACTGCCGCATATGATTCGCCATCTAATCCCTGGCTTGCTGAAGCCGGAGAAGGGGGGATCAACGCCTGCGCTGTCCAGCCTTGGTGTGGTGGATCGGATGCTGAACGGCAAACATGAGGGGAAGAAGGGGATGTGGAGGGTGGAGGATGTGTGGTTTGGGAATACGGTGTCGGGGCCGTGGTTGGAGTGTTTTATGTGGGGGTGGAGAGGGGAGCTGGTGGTGAGTGCTTGTTGGGATGGAGCGTTTTATGAGGGGAGTGGGGTGGAGAGGTTTCTTGGGGGGGTTTTGGGGGAGTTGAAGGGGGGTTTGGGTGTTACGTTGGGTGATGTGAATTCGCGTTTGTGATGCTGTCATTGCCTTTGTTGTAGCTTGTTAGTTCCTTTCTATTGAAGTGCGCAATCTTGGAGATGATTTCAATGCTGTTCTTAGTGATTGAGATTGCATTGTCATGTGCTGAGGAAAAAGGGGCGCTGCAGCAACCCCTTTCCAGCCGCCCATCAACGTCGCGATGCACAAGTCAATAACATTCGACAGAGTAGCCAAGCGGTCTACGGCGCTAGGTTCAGGCCCACCTGAATTCGCATTCATGCTTCCTAGTCTCAGAAATCGGGGCGTGGGTTCGAATCCCGCCTCTGTCATGCCCTTTCTTCTTGCTCAGCTGCACCATGAAATAATCGAATTGCGCGATGACTGGGGGGGCCGTGACGACAAAGACGAGCTTCTCGGCAGATCCGTCAGCCACTCAAGAATCAAACCTGCAAACAAAAGCCCACCATTGCATTGTGATTACAGGGAAAATCAAAGAAAGCCGGGACGGCACTGACCCACTCAGGGGCGGGGGCCAACATGATCGACGAAGTGGAGAGCAGATGGGGCACTGGTCGTGGTGGCTGTCAAGGCTCATCGCACGGAGGACTCGTCATGGCAGGCAAAAGGGGGCAACCCGATGTGGCCTCCCCTGATCGGAGTGAACTCGGTGAAATTCTGCGAGGACTTGGATTAGACTCCCGGATAGGATCAACTGACACGGCATCCAACTTTTATGCCTCCATTGCGCGGCCTGTGATTGCCAATCCACGACCTCATCACAATGATCCTTCCGGGAAAGAAGCCGCATTCGGAGCTCTTACACCGTCGGTTTTGGCTCGGTGAAGGAATCCCGCACTTACACAGTCCCTAACTCGGATTTCCAAAACCGTTGCCGCCAGATGATGCGAAATTCTTGCTGTGCCGCAGACCGTTTCCATCGTGGCAGCCTAGCACATGCATGCAAGCGGCTGACCGCCTCCCACGTCAGCCTGCCTTGCCTACGTATCTCAGCTCCCGAGGCCCTTCGTTGTTAGTAAAATGCCAAGACCATGTACCAGTACTTACAACTTTGTACTTTTGCGTTCCAACGGTTACCCTCGCCAAGGCTGAATCCATCCTCACCTGGCCCTTTTTCCACGCATCACGCTCTTAAAGCCATCAAAACATTCGCATCACCACCGCATCACCACCTTCACCATGAAATTTTTATCACTAACAAAACCCCAAAATCAAACTCAGCTCAACCTCTTCCCCTCCCAATGATCCCCTTCTCAACCCTCACCTTCTCCGACCTCTCCAACATCACCATGTCCCCCCCAACCCCCCCGCCCAGCGTGAATGCCACTTCCTCCCCAAAACTTCAACGACTCCCCGCTTCTGCCGGCAGCCCCGCCATCCTCTCCGCCCTCCGCGCCGACGGCGCCGTCATCATCAAATCCCTCTTCTCCCCCTCTGCCATCGCCACCCTCAACGCCGAAATCAACCCCCTCATGTCCCCCATCCGTCCCGGATCCGTCCAACCCTCCGAATTCATCCAAGCCTTCCACGGCCCGACGACCAAGCGTCTGAACAACCTCGTCGGTCTGTCTCCCACTTTTCGTTCCGTCTTCCTCGAAAATGACCTCATTCACGAGTGTTGTACCTCGATATTTGTGGAGGATTCAGGAGGTTACTGGATGAACTCGGCGCAGGTAATCGATATTCCCCCAGGGAGTGTCGCGCAGCCGTTGCACAGAGACCAGTGGCAGTTCCCTGTGTTTACGCTTGTTGGACCTGATGCGCCCGAGGCGAGCTGTAATTTTATTGTGGCGCTGTCGGAGTTTAGAGCGGAAAATGGGGCGACTAGGGTTATCCCTGGGTCACACCGGTGGGAGGATATGAGTGTGAATGGGGAGGAGGGGATGAGTGTGGCGGCGGAGATGGAGGTGGGGGATGTCTGTTTTATTAGTGGGAAGGTTGTGCATGGTGGTGGGGCGAATACCACCGGAGATAGTAGCAAAGGGGGGCAGACGAGGAGGGGGTTGGCGATGGTGTTTCAGGCGTCGTATTTGACGCCCGAGGAGGCGTTTCCGTTTAATGTTGATAGGGAGGTTGCGAGGGGGATGAGTGAGAGGGGGCAGAGGATGGTTGGGTATCGGTCGCAGGCTTTGAAGGATAGTCCCGGGGTGTGGAAGAGGGATTACGGCCAGGGGGAGGAGGTTTATTGTTAGCTGTGTTGTTGAGTGTATGACACAAAGGAACTGTATGGTAGCAAGACTCAAGTTGTAAAGACAATGGCTACCACATGCGTCTTTCTCTCCATCTCTCCATCCTTGTATTAGTTTCTGTCTGAGGTAGTAGGAATTTTCTCTTGCAAACACGTTCACAAAGTCCGGTTGCTCGATCTATCCCTTCATAGCAGACTAATCATCACCAACAGTAGCCAAGGCCAAGAGTGTGTAGTTGGTAGGCGGGATAGGGAATCGATGAGCACCTGAGCAGACCCACAGAACAACACCTCACGTCGGCCCGCTCGGTCGAGCGGCAGCGGGCTAACCGGAGTCTTTGCCATCGACTAAGGCTTTCCTTGCCCATTACCGCTCGTGGTAATTCTTGGGAGCCTGGTTGAACGTAGGATCGCGTCTTGGCACGTTCGGCTCTCGGGCCCAGCGGAGGCTTTCACATCGCTGGGTTTGGCTCGGAATGCAACCCCCGCAACTTGACTACCAACAGCTTGGCTAGTGGCAGTTGTGCATCCCGGGTCTCCTGGTTCCTGGCTTTTAGTTGAGATTGGAGTTTGTCTGTACTGCAAGTTGGACTCGTGGTGATGGCGACGACGATGCTGCTGTATTCTGCGGGCAGCAGGACTATATCGATTGCCAACCTGTGAGAAGAGAGCTCGAAATGATCCGAGTATTGCCTTGTAGGTTTGGGCCTGCTGTTGGCGGAATAACACAGTACAGCCATCATGGTTCGAAGCGCGGGATATCACAGCGCAACAATACCTCGAGTTCCCCAAACCCGGTTCAGTGTATCTGGTGATCGTGAGGGCATGCTGCTTTGCCATTTAGCCTGGAGCGTAGTGCGGCTCTTTTGGCTGTCTTTCCCCGGTTTCCGTTCCCCAGACTGTCAAAGTTGGATCGAGGTTGCACCACGACAAGCACGATGCAACACTGTCATCCGGTGCCGAGCCTTCGATGTCGCGGAATGTTCTATGGCATACAGGCTATATTCCAGTGTCACCAAGCGCTGTTACCTCCGTTGGTGGCATCGGAATCGTTGTGAACCCGAGCGTGGAGTGCGCAGAAATACATCAAAGACAGTGATGTTGATGTCATGAGGCGAAAAGGGGGCCGGGGGCATATAAAGCGTTTGACCCCTAACGCCCCCCTAAGCCATCCGCTGACATCCAAACAACATCAAACTCCCTCCATCATGTCTCGTGTCCTCGCCTTGGTTGTAGCGCTCAGCACCACCGCCAGCGCGCAGCAATCCCTTTGGGGACAATGCGGCGGCAACAACTGGACAGGCCCCAAGACATGCGTCTCAGGGGCCTATTGCAGCGAGCTCAACCCGTGGTATTACCAGTGTCTCCCCGGAACAGCAACCACCACCGCCGCCCAAACCACCGCACAATCCCCCACAACAACCCTCATCACGACCACCGCCCGCCCATCCACAACCTCCACCTCAGCCTCGGGCCCCTCACCCACGCCCAACCCCCCAGGAAGCGACGCATGCCCCGCCGCACCAGCCTCCATCTCCTTCTCCTCCTCCACCCTCCCCGACCCCTTCACCTTTGTCTCGGGCTCCAAAGTAACCTCCCTCTCCCATTGGACCTGCCGCCAATACGAAATCTCCACCCTCTTCCAGCGCTACGAACTCGGCACCTACCCCCCGGCCCCCTCCTCCGTAACCTCCTCCTTCTCCGGCTCCACCCTCTCCATCACCGCCTCCCACTCCGGAAAATCCATCTCCTTCACCGTCTCCATCACCAACATCCCCTCCGCCTCCGGTCCCCACCCCGCGATCATCGCCTACGGCGCAGCCTCCATCCCCGTCCCCGCTGGCGTCGCCACAATCACCTTCAACAACGACGACATCGCCGCGCAACAAAGCCAGTCCTCCCGCGGCCGCGGGAAATTCTATGACCTCTACGGCTCTTCACACTCCGCCGGCGCCCTTACCGCATGGGCATGGGGCGTCTCCCGCATCATCGACGCGCTGGAACAGCAAGAATCCAGCACGCGCATCGATCCGACACGCATTGGTGTAACAGGGTGCAGCCGCAACGGCAAGGGCGCTTTTGTCGCCGGTGCGCTAGAGCCCAGAATCGCATTGACTCTTCCGCAAGAATCCGGCGCAGGCGGAGCGGGGTGTTGGCGGTTGGCGAAGTATCAGAAATCTCAAGGGACGAACGTGCAGGATGCGCCGCAGATTGTGACGGAGAATGTGTGGTTCTCACGGGATTTTAACGCGCATGTGAATAATGTGGATTCGGTGCCGTTTGACCACCATATGCTGGCGGGTCTGGTGGCGCCGAGGGGGTTGTACGTCATGGAGAATCCGGACTTTGAGTGGCTGGGCAAGGCGAGCACGTATGGGTGCATGGCAGTGGCGAGGAAGATTTATCAGGGGTTGGGGGTGCAGGATCGGTTCGGGTATTCGCAGGTGGGCGGGCATAACCATTGTAGCTTTCCAAGCGCGCAGAGCGCGGAGCTGAATGCGTTTGTGGGGAGGTTTTTGTTGGGGAAGAGTGTGAGCACGGGGGTGCTGAGGACGGATCAGAACATCAACCTGGATCTGACTGCTTGGAGTCCTTGGCCGGTGCCGACGTTGGGGTAGGGCGTGGGAGGGAATAGAAGGTGTTGAAATACATTGAAATGCCTAGAGGTTAAGCGGGTTGGGCTGTAGAGAAGAGAGATACCGGTGTCATGTCTTTTCGGGGCTCTCTGTGAGCACATCCTCAAACTCTTCCTCGCTAACTGTTGGCGGCGCGTAAGTGACAGTGATGGGCACTCTAAGTTCCTGTCCCTCGCGGTTGAGTCCATCCATCCTGCTCCAAGGCCAAACATCTGGCTTGAGATACCATATGTCCGGTCGGAACCTGACGTGGATCTCCTGGAGGGGTGATTTGAGAGCTACAGCGGCTTGCATGAACTTTCGCAACCAAGCTTCCTCGTCGCCAGCAAAATCGTCCAAGTGCGGGCCAACTTGCTGGTCGTCGGTTTGGAAATCCCAGGTGAACTTTCGCAGCCGAGGTGCAGTAAGAATCTCCTTTTGGCCCGCCTCAACTCCGGTGTTCCGAACCGTAAGATCCAGCTCCTCGAGGCTTGTGAACCCGGCCAGA